GTTTTTTCGGGAATAAAACCATTCCCTTTTATAAAGTGACATGTAAACTGAAGTTAATGGCAAGATGTGACTGGTGGATGGGAGGTGAAAGGGTTGTTGTGTGACTGGTTCGATGAAAAAAAAACAGCCTGAAACAGAAAATATAAACATAAACACAAACACACACACACACATATAAGGCAATGAGTACTCGCTTGTGAATAAGTGAAACAATGCACAGCACTCCTGGCCGGGTCCATACAAACCGTCCTCACGTGACCCCCACCCCCATTCTCTCCTGTGTCTAATCTCTGGTCTGATGCAGACTGTCCAGCTAAATGACCTCTGAGAGCTCAGGGCACAGCGGAGTCAGTGACAGAAGGAGAAGGCTGGACTCCAAACACAGGTAGGGAATGTATATGCATCAAAAATAGTTCACTGCTGGGTACTGTCTGCTGGAATTTGGGGCATTGCCTTTTAGAGCAGTTGGGGTGGAAAGAGAGGTATTATTACCGGGCATCCACTAAACTGTCGACATCAGGTGGCTTAGCCAGCTGGACCTGGATAGCGGGAAGTCACTGAAGTGTTTTTATGATCCAGTTTACATTTTGAGAGCTGTCACCCTGCTTGCTGGGTGGACAAGTGAATAGGTCAACAGTGCTGGGCAAGGAACCTAGAAGAGAGGGCAAGAGGAGGAGACAGGATGGCTCCGCCTGGGTGAGGGGAGGGGAGGAGTTAGAATTGACAACCTACATTAATGTTCTGGGTCATTTCTAGGGAGTAGTTCCTTTAAGTCACAAAAATAGCAATATGAGACAGCTTTGAAATTAGCTTCGAGCTAACAACTGTACCCATACTCTACCATATGCCTATTTCAATTAAGTATCTTCAAGGACCCTCTCTTTATGTGGGCAGAGTAGCTCCCACCTGACACAACCTTTTTTAAAGTGAAGGTATCAGTATAGAATTTTAGCTACAGATAACTCATAATTCTAACCTTCTATTTCCCTCAAATTAGAAAGGTGTTTTGAGGCGTTTCAGATAAGGCTTCAATGTCAGCTATTAGTACCATAAAGAGGCCCCATGAAGCCTGTGTCTCCCTAAGTACTTCATACAAATATTTATAAAATATTCGTAAAGGAACACTGTAAATTATAAACTACTAGAAATGTCGCTATTATCGCAAAAAGGTAAAAGATTTCTAAATAAAATCCTTAAAAAGATACCAGGTAAAAACACAAAATTTTCAAAGGAAGATTAAAAAGTTGCCATTTCATTTTTTTAGCTTGAGACCAATTTTAAGATGCTAGCAGTTTTCTCCACATATGGTAAAAATAATCTTCCATTATGAAAAGAATCAGTCATTTATTGTTAAAGCAAGGTACCATACTTATTTGTAATCAATGTTACTTATCTGAATATTTGATTCTCTAGATCATGAGATTTCATAAAACTTGTCATTACAGCACTCTTGGAATTCATAATCTAATTCCAAATCAATATTTACAGACGTGCAGAGGAAAAGCTGACTAAGTATTAGATTCAGCATGGGAACAGCATTTTGAATATAACCATCTCTGCCGCTCATCATCTTGGTTGCATTTTAAATACCTATTCAATTTTGCAATTAAATTCTCATATTTACTCTTCTCTAAATGTCAGTAATTTAAGAAAGATCTCCCTCTAAAGCACACCAGACTTCCAAATACATTTTTAAAAATTCTGCTCTATTAAGCACATCTGTTTCCAGCTCTAAAAATTGCTAAATATTCCAGCAGCCAGTTTTTAGCCACGCGTGTATTTGTTTGTAAGTTTCATGTATCTAAAAAAGAATTACACGGTATTCAAAAATTTTCATAGATGAAAAGCTACAGTGAAAGAAAAGGTCATTTATCAGAATTGTTGAGAAGTGGAATAAGAAAGGAGAATTCATGGGAAGGTCCAGAGGATGTATCATAATAACTTTTTCTGATTGTCAATCAACTTATGGGAATTTAAAATATTTTACACTTTAATTACTGTACAATGACCTTTCTAAATGTACCGTAAGATTATTGTTCTCTTATAATCTATTATAAAACAATTAAACAAAGAATATATAAAAATTACATGTGACTAAGTATTTTTATTTATTGTCTAAAAATTTTTTTAAACATTCCATAATGTTTTATAAAAATAACTTAAATATATGTTTATGCCACATGACTTCCAAAGGCTCTATGAATATCATAAACCCCCTTTAGGAAGTGGTAAGAAATATTTTTTAAAAATAATCCCATATAAATAATTCAAACAATATTTTAAAAATCTCTGTTAAATTAACTTTCCATCATCTACAATAAAAACTCTTTCTTTCATTCATTGTCACTTTTCTTCAAAGTTCAAAGTTGTGGTTCATCTAACTGAAACATACATTCAAAAGTTCAAATATTTAAACAAATTTTCCGTAACAGTCTTGAAGTTTCCTTTGTTCCAAAAGCCCTATTATTATTATTTTTTTTTTTTTTTTTTGGTGGTACGCGGGCCTCTCACTGTTGTGGCCTCTCCCGTTGCGGAGCACAGGCTCTGGACGCGCAGGCTCAGCGGCCATGGCTCACGGGCCCAGCCGCTCTGCAGCATGTGGGATCTTCCCCGACAGGGGCATGAACCCGTGTCGCCTGAATCGGCAGGCGGACTCTCAACCACTGCACCACCAGGGAAGCCCCTAAAAGCCCTATCATTTTATCTAGTTGAAGGGTCACATATGTATTAATATATACTTCTGCATGGGTGTCAAAATATAGACCCAATTTACACTGTAAAATGCTACGTTGATTTTATTTTTTCTCGTCTATAAAGCTTTCTTAAGCAATTTAAAGTAGACATTTTCCAATTTGATACTCCAAAATATCATCTTTGAATAGAAAACATTAAACATTTTAAAATATACATATCGTTTTGTAAACCAACTGAAAACCATGACTTTTTTCAAAAACAGCTGCTTTGGAAATGTTAAATTGATGTTATCAAGTCTGCACTGCCCATTAGTGGCAAGAGATTGTAAATGCATGATTTTAATTAAATTGAAGACCAGTTCTATCTTCAATATTAGTTTTCTCAATCAAATTTAAAACTCGTTATAAGACAAACACACCTACACTGTAAGCATAACACGGTTTTTGTGTTATGAGATATTGTTCCTGTAGAACATTAATTTACTGTCAGTGCTCACACCCAGAGACCACGTTCAGTTAGGTACCTGTGAATATAAATATGATGAATCCATCACAAATGCATGTGTGTGTTCACGCATACACTACATACATGCCCACAGTGTAAGCTGGAAACAAAAACACTCTGACAATATAACATGAACTTATAAAGCAGAAATAAACTTTATCTAGCTTGTTAGCTTTGTTTAAATTACCCCTCATCGAAAAATATTCCCAAACTAACCTTCTGTGGTTCTCACTGAAATTACCTTCTGTTAATAAATGATTTTTAGGCAGGAGATATTTGTTTAAGGGTATTAGGAAACTCTCTCCCTCTTTTCATTTACTGACTTTGTTTCTTGTATGTTTTCAATGTAGATGTCATTTTTCAATTCTAGCTATGGAATGAAGAGAATATAAGGTGAAAGGAGAGGGGAAGCAGCTCCTTTTGAGCAATACTCAACAGTTTCCTAAAGCTGAGGAACAGCTTCTTCTTTTTTGGCCTGTGCTGTGGGCCGTGCAGGATCTTAGTTCCCCGACCAGAGATCCAACCTGTGTCCCTGCAGTGTAAGCATGGAGTCTTAACCACTGGACTGCCAGGGAAGTTCCCCCCACCCCTTTTCTTGGAAAACATTCTTTTATTTTTATTTTATTTATTTATTTTTTTGGCTGTGCCACACGGCATGCAGGATCTTAGTTCTTCAACCAGGGATCCAACCCGTGTCTCCTGCAATGGAAGCATAGTCTTAACCACTGGACCACCAGGGAAGTCCCTCCCTCTTTTCAAATCTCAGTGGTCCGCAGGGTTGACATCGTCGACTAGTTCTGAACCTCTGCATGATGATTACTATGCTCTATGAACATCAGGATGTCTGCATGTGACCCATAAATAGGCAAGTGCTGGCAACTAAGGTTCTTGAATATTCCCTCATGGGATTTCTGCAAACTTGAGTCAATGACTCTACACTTTATCACTTGCTGGAAACAAAGCTGAAACAACATTCGTATGGAATTTCATAGACAAAGAGGAATGCTGCTTCCCACTTTTTAAACAACTGATGGAGGAGTGCTTTAGACTAAGGCATGATTACATAACTGATTTCGATATGCAGCTTCTTTCGACAGCTGTCAACACATGTACAGTTTGTATGTGTGTATATATGTATGTATGTATATAGCACACAGATGAACTAAATGCTAACTCATTGGAGAGCATTTAGCTTGTCATTATTTTTGCTCAGTATTTTTCTTTGATTTGCTTTGCTCATTATTCTACCCCACATACTTACCTAGCATAGTGCTTTAGTACACAAAATACACACAATTAATATTATTTAAATAATGAATATTAATAAATCATGGAAAGTGTTCATGACAGCATTTTATTGATGAAAGTGCAAAGGAAATGTATAAAGGCTAATGGCTGATTCTGAGTAACTATAATGCCAATGTGAAAAGAACCTAAATACACTTAAGATAAATTAATATTTTCAGAATGCTTTATAAAAGAGTAAGATAAAGTTGTTTATTATAGATGTTATGATATGATGGCATCTTAGGCTGTCCGTCCCCTCACATGTGCCTGGAATGGATAGTTAATTGTGTCATGTGGTTGATCATTAAAAACATGTGTTATTTAGAACAAGATTTCTTATGGCTTGAGTTTGACTGAGTCCACTATTAATACGTGAGTTCAAATATTCCTTTTATAGAGGGAATTCAATCTTTTAACCTCCTTTCCTCTTGTCTACTCAGTCTTCTGCCCACCAGGTTACACATCGGAACAGAGAAAACAGTCAGTTGCTTCCTCTCCATCACGCGTCTCCCTACCTCTTTCAGACTTTTTGCCTTTGATTCTTTCAGTTCTTCATACTTCCATTTCCACACAGACAAAGCTGACTCCAGCCGTTCTATTTCTTTTTCCAAAGATAAGCGCATTCTAAATAGAGAATTAAAAGCAAAATAGACTTACAATTTTAAAATAATTTTAGGAATGCATTCAATTTTAGATTTTCTATTTTGCTAATTTTTTATATTTGTATATGATCATTGTCATGACAGAAAACTTTTTTCAGCTTATTAAAAATATTGAATAAAAGTTGGTTTACAGTAGTTTAAACACATGTAATTCGGCTTTGCCAGTATTAAAATAATTGACTTTCTGCCTGCTGTCTCCTGAATTATTCACTCATTTCTTTCAATGCTTCTTATTCATATTGTTTCCTTACAGGGGAGGATATATATATGTTTCTAATTTTAACATGGTTTTTATCCAACTTCATATCGTGCCTGTATATGAATGAAGAATTCTTTGATATGACAGAGAATACCAAGGAGCCCACATAACCATTTAAGAAATCAGTCATTTGTTGGAGATATAAAAATACTTTATATCTGTTTTAATAAAGCAGTTTCACTGGGATCTCTATTTAAATTATTTAAAATAATTGAAATTAATTTCTCTATTTGTAGAATAAGTGACAGAACTTGGATGAAAATCTTTAATTCTTTAATATCTCATCACTGATTTATTTTTTCCATGCCCACACATCTATTAGAGTGAGTCACTGAAAATAATTGTTTATTTCTGGTGGTAACTAGCATATATCCACATTTGCAAATGGTCAGTCCTCATCTCTGTGGTAGATTATTGTTAAAAATACTCATTCTCTTTCCTCTCCTTCCATGGACAGAGTTGCTTTCCCCATCCCTGGATTCTAGGCTTTGACAATGGGATATTATCTGATGTGACAGATTACAGAAATCTGAAAAGAATTTGTGTGATTAGGCTTCTTTTATCCCTCAGCCGTCACTGTGAAAAGTCTCCCCCTACCCCCCGCGGGAACTGCTGTCCCCAAATAAACATATGAAGCAGATCTGAGCTCAACCTTACCAAGGAGCCAAGCCCAGCTGGTCCAGTGGAGGTCAGCTGACCTTGCATCCAGCCAGGTGAAATACTTTGTTGTCTTAAGCTACTGAATTATTATTATTATTTTATGCAGCAAAAGATAGCTGATACAGGAAATGATACTTAAAAGGGGATGCTGCAACAACAAAAATGAAAAATATGTAGACCTAATTTAGGGGTCATATGGTGGACAGGGGCTGGAAAGAAAACATAAAAAGCCAGAAAAATAGTGATACATGTTATTTAGTGGTGAAACACAAGATGAAATTGTCACTTGCTGTGCCTTGGACATAGAAAATGTGCCTGACATTACCAATGGGATGCTATTAGGCACGATGTGGCCAAAGACTTAAAAAGTGTTTGTGTAACTGGGCTTACTCACTTACATTTTGGCCATGACTATGAGAAATACATACCTGTGCAGGCCCACTGCTCCCAGGGGAAGATAAGAGCCATGAATCACAGCTGAGTTTTCCCTGCAGAGCCCTGTCCAGATTAACCAACCTCCAGTGGCTCACAGACTCCAACAAAATAACTTCTGATTGTTACATGCCTCTAAGATTCTGTAGTTGTTAGTTACAGTCTTACTGTATTTATAATTAGCTAATACACACACAGATCTATTTCAGTGATAACGCTGCTAGAAAGATCTTGGGACATATTCACAGAGCTAGAAGATGCGTCCAGAATCAAAATTGAATGCCATTTCCTTATTTATAAGAAATATGAATCTTCTAGGTAGCAATAGTATGCAAAGAATTTGAAATAGAATTAGGCCATAAATATACTAGTTTAATCCAATCGATGCATAAGCAGCCCATTAAGGGGTTACATAATAATATTTGCATGAATCAAGCCATAAAGTTGAAAGAGGATAATAAAAGAATTTGTTACAGCTTAACTTCACCTCAAAAGACTTAAGTTGCAAAAGACACCAGCACTATTTATAGGACTCTAATTTGGAATCCCTTATTAACACAGTACGTATATTACAATGAACAAAGAAAAAGGCTGAATAGGTTCTTCAGAACACTCCTACGGATGTCCACAGGTCCAGATTAACAACCGCAGCCAAAAATTCTGATAGATAAGTAAATTTAGCCAGCCGATGACACCCCAGTTGCTTACCATGATATGATTTTTGCTCTTAGTGACCGTGTTTGAGATTTTAAGAATAGGATTAAATATAGAAATTGGGAACAAATTGCCAAATAGTAACATTTTGTGTTAAATATAGAAAAAATACATAAAAGCCATTGTATATTAAAATATGTTATGTATTTGGCATTCAGGTTTTAAAGTTTTGGATGATAAGGTATTTTTGAATATTTAAAAGAAATTTAGTATTGACTTTAACCTGTAAATTTAAGTTGAAAAATATAATAAAATTGTATTGTTTGTGACTTCATTGAAATACTTAAGAATCACCATATTTATAATTTTAATTTATTAGAATTACATGAGTAGAACATGACAATGTTTTCATCAGTGAAAGGACTATCTTAAATTAATAAAATAATTTTATTAAAGGATATTGATCAAATACATTTGTGTAATGAAGCATACATTGAGAACATTTTCTCAAAATTAATTTTGAGAATTATTTATAAATAGATTAATATAAAAATTATACTTGAAAATTTGAGAAAAGTCTACATTTTTAAATTTACAAATTCAAAATTATACATGTTGAGACATCAGTGTCAGCTTTTAACATTACACTCTAATAAATCAAATGATAATGTTAGCAAAAAAGCTCATATTAACATAAAAATGATTTATAATTACTGTAGAATAAATGTTGATCCTCGAAATTGTCATCAGAATTACTGTGGCAACTATGCCCTCAGGGGTTTTATAAGAAGTTCAAAAAGAACATTGCAAATTATATTAAACTTTTAGTTACATATAAGTATAGATATAGTCTAAAGATATAATTATATGTAGATTACATCTAGACTAAGTATTCAAGGCCAGTTCATGAAATGAAAATAATTTTGAAAAGCATATTAACATGAATAGTTAACCATTTGTATTCTTTATTTAAGGCAGATTAGTCACATTTAAAATATAGCATTATTTCTCTCTTTACGAATGCATCTTAAATAAAATAACTGATATTTATTAGTTTAGTGAAAGAAAATTATGTATTTCATTCTGTAAAATGGTACAATTTAGAGAAGTGAGAGAACAGGCAATTCATAAAAATTTATTTAATAGCAATGTGATGCTTGGGTGTTTTTCAGCATAGCTTTATAAAAAAAAATTGTGACTATTTGTTTCAAGCATTAGGACATAAGGACTGTGCACACTTAAATTTATGCAGCAGAGGGCACTCTTTAAATCCTTAATTTTCTGGCCTAATCAATTTATTCTCCATGTTAGAGAGATTTTCAGAACTGATTAATTATACTTACATTTATAATTGAAATTTAAACTATCATATTGTTTGAACTACAAGAAGGCAAAAAAAAACCCTAATTTACTCTAAAGGATATTGCATATTTTATGCACAGATTCTTTAAAAAAAATTACTAAGACAAAGCTCAGAAAAAATATAGTATTTTAATATGATGATATAAACTTTTAAAAATCAGATTGCTAAAATGTATAATATTTGCAGGATCTAAAAAGTAGTGTATGAACCAAAATGATTTTTATGAAAAGATATGATTATATTTCTATGCAATCTTTTGATACTTTGTTAATCATCCCATAATGATCCCATAATAAATGGGCATAAATTTTAAACATCTAGACAGGAAGATTAATCAAACTTTTTTTCAGAGATAAAAATTCCTAAACATTACTTTCTGGTAATAAATATTAATCATTTTTGAACTGTGTGAAATTTCATTGTAAAATATCTAGTCAGTATTTTCTTAGAGGTCTATTAATGTCAAATTTTTTTGCCAGACAAAAATAATTAACTTGTAATAACATCTAGATATCCATTTTTTCATTAGTCTAAAATTTAGAGTTAGTATTAAATGATGAATAACAAAATTTTTTACAAGTATACTTTTAATAAGCAACCTATTTATCATTTCATGATTTCACTATTTATAACTACATATTTCAGCTGTAACATATTTCAATATTTTTCATTTTCATCACCTTTCAGCATTTTCAGCAAATAGCCAAAGCCATATATAGTTAATTTAATTAGAAAAGAGATGACTTTAAAGAATACTGTTAATCTCAGAGACACCCAGGAGAACCAGAGACCAAGGCTTGGACAAGGCTATGCAGCCAGGAACAAGACCCGTCTCATGTCACAGAACCGGCCCAATGAAGACCCCACTGCCTGTTGCCTGTACATTCTCCTGATATCAATTATGTGTCCAACAAACAAATATACTCAAAATAGCTAATTTAAATAGAAGACATTAATAGCACAAAGACTCTCTGGGAGAGCCAGTGAAGCAAATTGGGAACCGGCAGTCAGAAATACCAAAGATAAAGCCATAGAAATCTTCCCATCAGCACTTTCTTGGGGCCACCATTTAGGTACAGACATCACAGCATGACCTCAACATCCCCTCAACTCGAGTCTTGGGATGATGTCACCAGAGACTTGAGGCTGCTGCTGCCTCTGAAAACAAGATGTAGCTACTGCCACTGCCTTCTCCCCTCACCAGGATGGATGCTGGTGCTCTCATCTCCTTGGAGGATTAATTTATGCTAAAACAACTAGGTGGCTACATTTGAATAGCTGTTCCTATGTCAACCGTCTGCACCCTAACTGCAAAGGAGACTGAGGTAGAGAATTACTAGTGCTTACTAGTCTACACAGAGAGATAGACTCTCTCATTAGGTACAGGACTGCCCAAACACAAACATACTTTAGAGTAAAAAAGAAATTGTAAAAATACACAAAAATTAACTTGAAATGGATTAAAGACCTTAATTTAAGACCTGAAATGTAAAACACCTAGAAGAAAACATAAGGGGAAAGCTCCTGAATATTAGTAATGGCAAAGATTATTTTGATTCTACATCAAAAGCACAGGTACCAAAAACGCAAAAATAAATAAGTGGGACTACAGCAAACTAGAAAGCTTCTGCACGGCAAAAGAAACAATTAACAAGATGAAAAGATAACCTATGGAATGGAGGAATTATTTGCACACCACACTGGGGTTAATATCCAAAATATATAAAAGGAACTCATACAACTCAGTAGCAAAAAAAAAAAAATGATGAATGTACAGCATGACGACTATAGTGAACAACATGGTACTGTATACTTGACATTTGCTAAGAGAGTAGATCATACGTGTTCTTACCACACACAAAAATAATAACTATGTGAAGTGATGGGTGTGTTAATTAGCTTGATTATGGTAATCATTTCCAAGTATGTATATGCATCAAAACATCATGTTGTATACCTTAAATATATACAAATTTTATTTGTCAGTTATAAGCTTACTGTATAGCCCATTAGTAACAGTGAATAAATAAGTAAAGTAGATCTGACTTTCTATTCTTTAACAATATTACATTAAATAATAGTAACCAGACTTGCATGCAATTTTTTCATTGTCTTGAGGAATATTCACAACCAGATATATAGATTTCTTTCTCATGCTAATCATTGGAGCATTTTCAGTTGGCTGTACTGTCTCACCAAGATTTAAAATCTCATTTTATTGAGAAAAAAACCATAACATTTAATGAAGCAAAGAAAAATAATTGAAGCATACTGCTCTTCTTATATAGAAACAAATTAAGAAAATAAAATTGAAAGGGCGATTAAAGCTCACATTGACAGAAAGCTAACATTTTGTAAGGGATGCAGGTGCCATCTGCAGTTTAACTTTAGAACTAATTCTAAAGGCTAAAACAGCACATCAAAATATTTTACCTCATCATCTCTCTTACTTAAGACGTAATATTGCCAAAGTTCCTCTTCCTAAATGCTTAGGTACACCTAGCTCTGTACGAGGATCAGTCTTCCTGCCCTCATCTCAAATTTCCTACCTGGGAAGGTCGGTTTTTTTAAGAGATCAGAAATATACAAATTCTCAGTACATGAGCAGCTTCCAGATACTGGGTAATTATTCATCAAACTGAACAGTATGAATAAGACAAATAATAGATAAACTTTAGTGATTTAGATGAGGGGGTTCTAGTCAGTCAATGGCGGAAATGATTCCCTGAGTTCTCTAGGTTGATTCCTGTGCTCTAGTCAAGAGAAGTTTCCCACTAGCTGGGAACATAGAAAAAATTATATTCACATCTTCTCAACTCCAGCCACCCACTCACTGAGATTCCAGGAGGAAGGATTTAAAAGATTAGACAGATTTATAGTAAAAGTATATACTGTATCCTTGGGAAACATTCTCTTGTGATAGAAAAAAAGGCTTTGCCATGGCCTCACGTGGATTGCAGGCTAATGTTAATTCATGGACATATGATACCCGTGGGACTGCTTCTTAAAGAGGAGCGTGAGAAAGCAAAATGGAATCAAAGGCCCCGTTTCCCCCTTATTCTTCGGCCTGTCTTTTGTTTATATGCTGAATTTGCTGAGAACTGGGGGACTTAATACTATGGGGATTGTTCATTTATTCCAAGGAAGTCAGATATATATGTACATGTACATGTGTACAAGTGAGAGTGTAAAGACACACATGTGTATCATTAAAACTGGTACTTTGGGGAGTTTACATGCAGGAAACAGCATTTTCACATTGCTCCTATTATGTTATGTAAGTGAAGTAGCATTGTGAGTGGGTTGGAGAGAAGTCTATAACCACTAAAAAGTTAAATCCTTCAAGAAATGAAGCCCAGAGCTTAGAACTTGACTGAGACCTGTAGTTCCAGAGAAAATTAATTGTTAATATGGGTGCAGGCGTTCAATTTTATTCTCTTTTCTACTAAGGTTGATTGCCTCTGTTAGGAATTTACAATTGATGGTAGAATAATAAATATTTATTCTCTACACAGATATGTGTATTATCACAATCTGTGCATGTGGTGAGGTAAGGCAAAGAATCTGAAAAAGGGAATTAGTGGTAGGAATAAATTTCAGAGGACTTGTGGCTGACAGAAAAGGATTGGCAGATAAAGAGCTTATAGTACTGGTGAAAGGTTTGTGTGCATATTTATCACTGTTTCAATCCATGTAAACCAGGGAAATTAAAACCATTATATAATATATAATTATATTCATACTTAGTGATAATATACATCACTCCCAGTTTTTTTTTTTATTCTGCCCATTCAGAGTCTTATAACTAAAGAGCTAGAAAAATAATTATTTTCAGATTTGGGGAACACATTTTAAAGTACATCAAATATTCCACTTATTAGTTTCTAGGGTGATCATGAGGGAACAACAAAAAAAAAACCATATTGAGTAATTCATATTAGTGGCCACTTTCCCAGACATTGTGTTTGAGCCTCATAAGAATCCAGTGAAGAGGGAAGAAGTGATGCTATGTGACTTTTAAAGCCAGGTCATTAAAATACCATTTATTTCTCTCTGTGCTTGACAGATGTTCACTTTCAACCAAGCCATTATGCCGTGTGTTAGCCAAGTGGCCACACAGATAGGCTATATACAGATGTTCCAACTGAGATCCCAGATGAGAAAAAAGATCAGGTGCCAGATATGGGAGTAAGTGAGATTTCAGATAATTCTACACTGCCCCCCACACCTAAAGTCACCCTCGGCCTTGGAGCCATCCCAGCTGAGGTCACATGTAGCAACAGATGAGCTGTCCATATAAATCCATGCTCAAGATTCATGAACAGAATACGTGGTGATTGTTGTCTCAATAATAATCATCATTTGTGAACTTGTTATAAAACAATAGATCATTGGAACACAGGTATCACTGTCCATATTTTTACAAAGTTGACAATAGCACACCCTTTACTAACCCAATATCGTATAGCTAGAGTATGTCAGAAGCAAGATGAATGTCCAGGTGATTTAATCAAGTCTAGTTCTCCTTCCTCTCTACTATAAATGGTCAATGAATAAAGCATCTTTTTCTGTAATCAGTACCTCACAAAATTGTGAGTTTTCCCTTATGAATATTAACGTATCTATTCATTTTTATTGACTCACTGAAATCTATGAATGCTGTAAAAGTTAGATAATACACAGGTTATTTTAATCATAAACATTAATAATTCAAATATAATGAGGGTGATCTACCAGAGAAGATGAGAACAAGGTTATGATAAAAAAATGATAAAAATGAACCTGTTATAACTTATTTTTCAAAATTCAAAAAATGAATATAAAATTCAAACTCATTTTTCAAATATTAGTACTTAATGACTAGTCATAGGTAAAATACATTAGCAGATGGCTAGTTTAAGAGACTTAACAATTTTAAGAAGTTTGAAAAACAGACTTGGTTAAGGAAGACGATAATTAGTACTTACTCTCTTTCTTTCCATAAGATTTTTTGGAACTCATCCAAATTCACCTGCAAAGCTGAAATTTCAGGAACTCCATTCTCCAGAGGCAGATTTATTGCCTGCAGTCTTAATCCAGGTCTCACTGTACGGTTTTCAGAACCACCATTCTTGAATAAATCAGGACAATCGAGATTGAGTTTCACCTCTTCATTTAATTTTAATGGGTCAATAATCAAACCTTCTTCCTGAAAGAAAAAAAAATACAAAACAATTATTATTGTTGAATTTTAAAATCCAATGTAGAAAAATCATGAAGAAAACATTTTTGAAAGGAAATAAAATGTTACGATTCAGCATCAAATTCATATTTTCATTCATTTATCATTCTCTAATAGTGTTATATGGACAAACTTTAACTTATATATTTTTGGCTTTTTTTCCTTTCAATGTTCTACCATATTCTAATAAAATAAATTTCCCTGCGGTCTCTTAAAATTTTCCATTTACAGTGGAATATGTTATATCTAACATACACTCCATACATCATGAAAAGCTTAACATTTTAGACGGAATTATAGAAAAGCAAGATATTAATTGATTTTATGTTTTCAGAGATGGAATTAAATAGAAAGGGGTAATAATATAAAGGGTAAATAATACAAACTATTTAAAGAGATAATATGAATTCCTAAAGTTTCCCAAAGTATGTTCCATGAGTTGTTAATAATATTTGTCAGATTTAAAAATACATATGGGGGGTGGTTCATCAACAGATAAGTGTATGCACGGCTAGATTAAAGTTTACAAACTTTTGTTACGTGCAGAATGCTCAGAAATTTCAAGATTCCAAATATACCAAGAAATTCCAAAAGTGGGTAGTGTGAAGTATTCCTTAAAGGTATTTCCCTATGGTACCCATTTTACAGGAATTAATTGTGAGGCCAGAGTCCCAAACCTTGGGAAATGTTTTAAACTACTGCATGGATAATTTAAGAGTCGCTTATTAGGGTAAATGGAGAGAAATCTCTCTAAATATCTTCTTTTAACATAAAAAAATGCTGGGGTTTTTCTTTGGCTAAAAATACTAGTAATATCAGTAATATGGACTGAATCGTGTCTTCCCTAAAACCCATATGTTGAAGTCTACACCCCCCAACCCCCAGTACCTCAGAATGTGACTATATTTGGAGACAGGGTCTTTAAAAAGGCAATTAAGTTAAAATGAGAGTTATCAGGGTGGGCCTAGTGATGGTATCCTTATAAGAAGAGGAGATGCAAACTCATATATATATAGGATGGATAAACAACAAGGTCCTATTGTACAGCACAGGGAACTATATTCAATATCCTGTAATAGAAAATAATATGAAAAACAATATATTTATATGTATAACTGAATCACTTTGCAATACAGTAGAAATTAACACAACATTGTAAATCAACTATATCTCAATAAAATAAATTTAAAAAAAAAAAGAAGAAGAGGAAATTTGGACACAGACACGCACAGAGAGAAAAGGTGATGTGAAGACACAGGGAGAAGACCGCCATCTATAAGCCAAGGAGGAAGGCCTCAGCAGAAACCAGCCCTGCTGACACCTAGATCTCAGACTTGTAGCCTCCAGAACGGTGAGAAAATAAATTTCTGTCGCTAAAGCCACTCAGTCTGGGGTACTTAGTTCTGGCAGCCTAAACAAACAAATACAGTCACCACTGGTTTTGCTATTTTCTCTTCCCTCCCCATTACTATATACAGCATTCAAATATGCACATAACCTCTAGATGCCTCTGGATTTTTTTCTGACCTTACTATTTATGTTCTCCTTGGTAGGATATTCTCTCTTTCCCAAGCACTCTCTGATGGACTCACACGTTTTGGAACCAATTTGAAAGGGGTCTCTCTGTGCATAGGACACTTCTATGAAACTAGGAAGCTTCCGGTCCTGGGTGACTCTAGCTTCCAAGACTTCTTTTTGATGTGACAAACTTTGCTTTTTTTTCAAGGCACTCAATTCCTTCATGGTCATCTCTAATTTTATTCTGAGTTGTCTTCCTTCCTCCCTGGCGCTGTTCCTTTCAGCTCGAACTTTACTCCACTTTTCTCTCCAGTTGGCCGTGCAGTCTGACCACCATCGCATGGTCTTCTCCATCTGAGCAGCTCTGGCCTTGACCTCCTCCAGTTCCCGCAGGCAAAGTTCTTCACAAATGCCCCAGTCGTTGATGTTGCAGGAATGAGCATGGGAGTTGTGAGCGGCATGAGATTGCAGCGCATGAAGGGGCAAACAGGAGCTACAGGTGTCCCTGCAGGATGAGGCAGGTGCCCCCAGGTCACATGGTGGTTTAACTGATGACTGCTGCATCTGGAAGATTTGTGTTTCTTCAATTAACCGATGAATGGAATCTAAATTCATATTTATCTTTTCAGGCCTAAAAAAAGACAGAGAACATAACTGCATTTGAATTTCCTCTGCAATTATAAGAGCAAGACCGACATTTAAAACAGAAAGTGATAAAAACAATGCATCTTCTCAACATTGTATATTTTTCTTCCCACTGTAAAAATAGAGAGGATTTTATGCATTTGTAATTATCCTCAAAGAAACAGAAATCATTCACATTTAATTTTGCCAAACGAATACAAATAAATATATAAAGATGCAACTGGGGATAGCACAGGACGTGATTTTAACAAATCCAATTCTTTTCACGTAATATTTATTGTAACACGTATTGTCCATTAATTGCTCAATGGTCCCCTTTTCCCCTGCTAACTAAAGCACAATTTGTTCAGGTGGAAGGCAGAAGCTGTTGATATCTGGAAGGATAAGCCCCTATTCCAATCCCAGGGGCTAAATCCTGAGTGGTCTAAATCTTCCATGACAACCCCCATTTAATTCACCATTCACTGGTTTTAAAGCAGCATATGACCTGGTTCTGGCTGATGAGATGTGAGGGGAAGTCTGCTAGAAAAGTTTCCCATCTAGAAAAATGTGAAAACATCAAAATGAGAAACCCTTTTTCCTCTGCTTTCTTCCTGCTTGAACAAAGACATGATTCTGGAAGAAGGTAAGTGTAACAGCCGCCCTGTAACATTAAAAATGGTGCAACAGATGGATGAAAAGAGCTTGATGTAACAATGGAGCTGCAGCATGAAACAAAGAATCCATACCTCTGGTTTCCTTGCTATGTGAGAATGATTAGCTATATTTATTTAAGTTATGATGGTTGAGTTTTCTGCTACTTGGAGTCAAAATGACATCTAACTGATACATGAATTAATTTTCTACTATGGTTAATATTATGATAAATTCAAAAAATAAAATATGAATAAGACATGGTCTTTATCCTTAAAGATTTTATAGTCCAGTAGATGAGACAAGCACATAAAATACATAATATGCCTATAAAAATACATTTATTTAATCAAATTTTTTTAGCATTGTATTATGTGTCAAATCAATGTTAGCTTCCTAGGATATGTACGTGGTACTCTGGGGAGAACTGCTAAAGAAGTGATGAGCTGTTTCCTAGAAATTAAGAGGCTTCACAGACAACACTGAACAAAGTCTCAGTAATTTCAAAGCTTTAAAAAGGAATTAAAAACAGCTTTCCATATAAGTAGCAAAGACAAATTAATTGGTAAATGCAAACCTTTGTTATCAGTGTGTACACCCATTACTTTATTCAATATAGCAACATAACCACATTGAGGATTTAGCAAGTGGAACATTTTCTTTAAAATAAATGCTCAAATCATGCAGGTTAATCTAAAATTAATAAAGTTCTGGGCTTCCCTGGCGGCGCAGTGGTTGAGGGTCCGCCTTCCGATGCAGGGGACACGGGTTCGTGCCCTGGTCCGGGAGGATCCCACATGCCGCGGAGTGGCTGGGCCCGTGAGCCATGGCCGCTGAGCCTGTGCGTTCGGAGCCTGTGCTCCGCACGGGAGAGGCCACAACAGTGAGAGGCCCACGTACCGCAAAAAAATAATAATAATAAAATAAAATAAAATGAATAAAGTTCTGTGGTTGTATAAGATTAGCCATTTTTATTATCAAAGAAGATTTTCTGGTGTAAATAAGCTTAGATAACATTTTGTATTCATGACATTAACTACTCCCTTTTTTTCATTTCCTCTTATATAGTTACAGATCATAAACTGTCTTTTTATGAACCATCTATTTAATCAACTGAAGGGGTTTCATGATACCAATTAAGTTACAAAATAAACTTCTATTCACTGAAAACAAGGCTATATAATATTAAATGCATATCACTTGCAGTTGTAGAAAAAAACACATTTTAATAAGTGTTCTGTAGAGATGCCAAACCAATTCACTCCTTATTATAATACTTATTATAATAATATAGATTTGTGGTTGTAATTATTTTTGTTAGCATTAGTATATGCCCAATCATATTTGAATTAGTGCTGACTTGGAGCAACTGTTCTTTTCATTTACCGTAACTCAGAGAGCAATGATAATATAACTGACCAAACTTCTTGGACCATTGGTAAACCAAGACCAATATGAAAAAAAAAAAGAACAAAAGGAACTCTTAATTAGAAGCATACCAAGTATTATATGTATATATATATTTATATGTATATATTTTTATATTTATATATATTTCACTATTTAATGAAATATTTTTTGGTAGAAATTCCAAAATGAAGACAGAAAATTTATTTCAGCATATTAAACTTAAATTTAACCTTGCCATTTTTCAAAATAAATCAGTATCATAAAATTGTAATGTCTTTTAAAATGTCTAACTTTTATTTCACTAGTGTTTTGAAGACTCTATAATTAGACTCTGGTACATTGAGATCTTGCCTACCAATTAACTATGTATTTTTTCACATCTGACTAAACAAAATTGAGTTGGGTTTAATTATTCAGTCCTTGAATTTCAATAGTATTTCCTGTTCTAAAGTGTTTCTCAAGCAAGTGTAATGGGGATATTTAATCCTCATGTGTATTTATTAAAGCATTCATTTTCTCTATACATATGTACCTAATTTTCACGTTTTGTTTCAGATGACTATGAAAGTATTTTTCAGTGGTTGTAGCACAAAGCCTTTGATATATAGGAAAATATTTTAATGTTATTGACTCTGGTTGCTTATATTAATTTTTGGATTGTTTTTACCACAAAAAAAAAGGAGTGGGGAGCACAAGGAAACTCTTGGAGGTGATGGACATGTTTATTATCTTGAGCATGGTGATGGTTTCATGGGTGCACACATATGTCCAAGCTCATCAAATTGTATATATTAAATACATGCAGTATTTTATACCAATTACACCTCAATAAAGCTGTTTTTAAAAAGTTCATACAACCAGGCTACCACGATTACTGCAAGTATTTTTGAATGTAGTATATAGCCATATTAATAAAATTTGATGGGTCTACAATATGTAGACTATATTACTAAATGTATTATTTCTTGCCAAAGAGGAGCTTAATGTGTGAGACACTGGGCTCCAGAGTCTATTGGTCCAAGTTCTGACTCTGCCACTTTCTAGGTAGCTGAAAGTAAACAAACCACATAAATTGCCTTTGACTCATATCCTTATTTGTGAAGGAAAACAGAATCATCATGTACCTCACTGAGTTCTAGTGACGATTAAGTGGGAAAATGCCTACAGATTGGCTAGCCAATTCTTCTCAGTGCTATACAAGTCACTAGTATGTCACCTTGGACTATTGTACTATTTAATTTTTTTCAGTATCATTCCTCTCTTTTGAAAGAGAAATGCTATGCTTAAAAAATAGGGATAGCAACAGATAAATGTGATTTCTAAAAAAGAAAGCTCTGAATTTCATGTAATAAGGGTACAATCTCAATTTTTATATCATATTAATATTATTCAGTACTATTATTATCTCCATCCCAGATATGAAGAAACTAGGGCTTAGGGTTCTAATGTAGCCAGCCCAAGTCAGACACTAAGAAGGAATCAACCCACAGAAAACAAATTTATGGTTACCAAAGGGGAAAGGGAGGTGGGGAGGGATATTAGGAGTATGGGATTAACAGATACAAACCACTATACATAACACAGATAAGCAACAAAGATTTACTGTATAAAATACCTTACGATAACTTATAATGGAAAATAATCTGAAAAAATTATATATATAACTGAATACTTTTCTGTATACCTAAAACTAACTCAATATTGTAAATCAACTATACTTTATTAAGAAAAAAATTTTAAAAATAAAAGAAAGGATAAAGAAAAAAGAAGGGGTCAATCTAGTTTGGGAATTGAGGAAATTTGAACCCAGGGCCAATGCCTCTCCATATCGAAAATCTCCAGCTTCAAAATACCTATTTCCACTATAGTGAGATCACCTTTTAGATTATTTCATAAATACATTTGACAGAGTCTAATGCTGGATATTTTTACGTTCAGATATCTCCCATTAAATCAAACTACAAGTAGTCAACTGATCCCGACATTGCGTTTTGAGTCAATTCAATCTCCTCCTCATTGCTTAGAGGACCTGCAAGGTCTAGGCTTGTCCATTCCTCCATGCTTCCGCCACCCTGGTGTGTCTGTACCTTGTACAAATCTCACCTCAGTGATCTCCTTTGTGCAATCTGATTGCTATGCAGGTGCACTCTCCCCTCTCTCCACACACCCAGCTCCTCCTGGCTTCCCATCCTTCAGGTAGCAGCTGCTGGGACCTATGCTTGACTCTCCTCCATCCCCTGAAGGCCCTACATCTGAGGCCCTCCCTCTGGCCTCCTCTGGATAGTGAACAAAATAGACATGGCTTCTGCCATCCTGGGACCTTGCTAACTACCAATAGCAATAAATCAAGCTAACACAAATTTTAACTGCCTTTGAAAGAAATAGCCAGTGTGTTGTGATTTAACACATACCTATATACTGGGAGAAGTCTCTCTGAAGTGAAGGTATGTGTCTTAACACATACCTATATACTGAGAGAAGTCTCTCTGAAGTCTTCAGAAGCATGAGGTGGACCAGAAATAAAAGCATTTTTGGCATAAGTTACAATATCAGGGCAGAACAAAATAGGGTCCAAAGGGATTTTTGTTTTATTGTTTATATGTATTGCTTTCCATTAACCTATAGGAAATGAATTTTATATGAAACCCTTCTTAGTGTTTTTTCTAAGACACACAGGACCTCTAATGCATATGCAATAATGTTAATAAAAGCCATAGCAAGGAGAAAATAGATTAATACAGATATAAAACATAATGCTAAGGAATAGTTACTATAGATATGACACCATACACTGTGATAGAAAGAGAAAAAGAAGGATCAGTTTTTAATATTCAGGAAAGTAAAACATCATATTGTATTTTAAAATGTGGCCTGTCAAACATGCACAAGTGATTAGTATAAAAACATATGCATTTTGTATGGGTCAATGCAGAAAAATACAAT